AGGGGTCAAAGTAGATTTAAATTCACAGGGTTTTGATACAGCAACAAAAAAATACAGAGAGAACCTGCCTAATTGTCTTGTAATAACATGGCAGTCCAGACTTAAATTGAATGAATATGCTAACTAAAATGTTGACATATTCAAAGGAAACATAGAAAATGTTTTAATGGCAATACAAGGAAACATTTACATCATATTTAAATAGATAGAAATGAGAACAATAAGAGAGAAATATTCAAACATCTATGTACCTGGGTCATTATCCAAAAATAAACAGTATGCAATGAAATATTTTCTTTGGATATAATTTAGGGATACCTTTTGGCAGAAATGAAAGAATGTTTAGCATCACGTCTTGTGAGCTGGAAGAAATAAAATCTTGATAGTTAGACAAAGGGATTTTTTACGCTTAAAGAAGGATGACCAACCACATAGTTTATTAGTAGTGAGGACAGGAAGAACCAAACTGCTGAGAGCGAACCATCAGTGTGGAGCGCAGCTAACCACATGCAAAGATGCATTTCTCCACAAGCACAGCTGGAAGAACATTATTGTGCTGTGCTAATGCAGAATGTGCAGCACTGCATGCCAGGTGGGCTGTGTTACCAAACAAGACGCAGCAGAACGGTTGGTTCTGCTTAGTAGATTCCAGCACGATGATGCAGTTTAAACGACTGACCACCCCCCGCTAATTTTTATTTAGTCTAGTCTCGTTGACGAAAACTCAAACCTATGACTAGTCATGTTTTAGTAATCAAAGTTCCATATTTAGCTCCTCGGTTTTCGTTATCGTCATGAAAAAAAGGAGTGTAAACAAAATTATTTCATCATCGTTGACGAAAACAAAAAGGCTCAGTACGTGGAAACTTAACTTTGTCTTCGTCTGTCACATAAAATCCCTTTAAGGTTTCATAATGGACATAGCAAACTGGGCGAAAAATGTTAAACCCTGCTTTTCTTTGTTATAAAATTACATTCTCCTGAAAACAATTTTGATTATTTCAATATATGCATTTTTGCTGCAGCAAGTCATTTTCAAATAAAAAAAATACCTAAAGTGTCTGAGGGATATAAAAAAAAAAAAAAAAGAAGCTTTGCATCTCTTTTTGGTGCACTCAGTAGTCAGAACATAAGAAGTTATTAAAACTCTTTGGGAAGAAAGACACAACTGTGTGTTTGATAAGCCAAGTTGCCCACTAGTCAGGCCACCTGCTGAATGGACAGCTGCCAACAGAAAATGCGCATGCAGTCTAAACATGCAAATATTCATAAGCAGTGAGAGCAGCAAAAATACAAATAAGACACCAAGCTTGTAGGTAAAAACATTTGTAAAAATTGCTCAATGTGGCTAAAATTGACTGTGGAGGGAATTAATATATATTTTATTACTATAGTTACAGAAATAATGCTTTAAATCAAAACCCTAAAAATTATATGAAACACTTAACACAACCTTAAACAACCTTGTATTCAATTTGAAGCTAATGCATATAAGGGAGTTATACTTAAAAAACTAAATAGGAAAAACACCCTTGTTTTTTCCAAAACTCTTCCCTCTAGCCCTTATAAGTACAGTTTTTCACAGAAACTCTGTGTCTGGCACCTGCAAAGCCTCTGGCTTTCATTTTCATGTTGGCTTGCTCTTATATCCACACCCTACAGACTTGTTGCATTCACAGATCTCTTCTAATCCTAATAAAGATCTATTGGAAAGACAGACAAAATGTTTTTCTCTCTTGGCCCTGAACTGCATTAACATATACTAAATGTGGAATAATAAAGACTAACACTAAAAAATCTTGGTTTTATGTAGGATCGTACAGCCTTTGTTCACGTATAAAGGCACTAGATATACAGTGAAAGAATAAATGTGTGCACTTAGAACAAAATCTTCAGGTTTGAGTCACATCAGCCATAAATAACTCCAAAATTCCCCTTTGTGAGTCAAAATAAACTCAGTGAGGTATGTGGTTTTGGCTCTCCACTCTTACAGGCAGTGGAGCCTTTGGCTGTGAGTGTAGGCAGCCTTGTTCAGAAGATGCAGCCGGTGAGCTGAAATGAGGCTCTCACACTTGAAGTCCATCACCCACAGTGATACCACTCCCACACAGATGTATGAGAGGAGAACACTGAAACACCCACTTCTTCTAAACCTGAGAGAAGCCTCTCTGTGTGCATTACCTAAGAACACAGCGGCTGGGCAGCATCTCTGAAGATGGATCTAAAAATACAAACACCACTTGATCTATGGGTACACACTGCAGACTAAGAGCGCACACTAATCACTAGTTGCTGATCTAGGAGTGAATGTTTTAAAGTGGTCTGCTTTCCAGAGAACGAGAAAGGTTGGCTTGATATAGGGTAGCTTTCACCCATGGTACAATCAATCACACTTTAATCAGACCACTACCGTCACAGGGGATAGGAGAAGAAATCGATCTTGGAGAGAAGTGAAGCTGCTTTAGTCATAAACACCTTTTTTATACTTGAATAGTTTCAGTAAGCCTCACTAACTTTAAACCCAACAAACCTTCCCTGAGCTGAAGTTTGGATGCCTAATTGGGTAGCAGAGAAAAAGTCGGTGTAAGAAACAATGTGCTGCACACTTCAATTAGCCAGGGGACAAAATCTGACAATTTTACCTCAATCGAGTTTGGTAGGTGATCGTCAGGATAAACTGTTAATGTTATTTCCCATTTTTAAAAGCTTATAAATAAAAACTCACACTTTTTTTTGTCTGTAGCAGACAATAACAGCCTTTTCCATGATGCATCATATTCTAAGATGTTCAGAAATAAGACAATGATTAGAGAATTATACATTAAGAACAAACAAATTTACAGATAGTATAAAGGAAGAAACACATTTGTGTTATAGCAGATTTAGGATCAAGAAAGGCCTTTTATATATGCTGAATGCTGATTTAAACCAAAATGGACTAGTAAGTCAAGTATGTTTTATTAATGATTTTAATTCAAATAAAGGTAGAAACTATGTGTTCATGTGTTCCTTCATGTTAATGTTCTGAAGTGATCTTCTTTTATGTGATAAAGAAAATCTCTGTAGTTTCTAAGACATGGATGATTTAATTTGGACAGAAAAATGTAATGCCTATATAGATATATATTTCCATTATCAAAATATGAGATGGAAAATCTTTTTTATATGTATTCGATATGATATAAAAACACAGTTTCAACGCTTTAAGAAAATAATACAAAGAAATAATTTTGGCTTAATGAACCCCTCAAAAAAATAAAAATAAACCTTTAATACTAACCTAAAAAAAAACATAAATGAACTTTTATTACAGGACTTGTGGGATTATCTCTATCATTCAGTAAGCAATAGGTGCCATTCACCCTGGCCAGTTCACCTGATCTATTACAGGGTAACAGAAACACTCGCAAACACACATTTGAGAGGCAAAGTACAAACTCCCCTCATATTCATGCTTTGGACTGCTGGTCGAAAACTGGAAAGAAGCTTTAAACTAGCAGTAAATAATTAAAAGCAAAAAGTTGTAATGTTGTGGATAAATGTACAAAAATCATAAATTTCTTTTTATTTTTGTTGGTCCACAAACTTTTAATACAAATTTGATTACCGGTAAGCTATTTGTGAATCAAATCAAAATCAACATTAAAAAAACAGTAATTATAGGTTCCAAAGTGCTGTAGAAAGCACCTTTTTACAATGCATACTGATTTTTTTGCCACATGTATCTGAAACTCGATATATATCCACATCAATCCTTTTCAAACAGACAGGAAAGTCAGATAGTCTATCCGCTTTCTTAGTTTAGTATGCAGTGGCTGTAACCTTGTAAATCTCATAGGACCCTGGTATTTGAAATTCTTCTCTCATATAGAATATTTTTCACAGACAAAAAAGGGACAATTGAAGACACAGTATTACAGAACAAAAAGAAGAAAAAGAAACCTGTTTTGCATTAACAATCAATTTAATCCTGTCTGATTAGAAAAGTCACAATTTAAGGTTTGGGTCACAAATCATTTACAAATACTTTTAGATAAATTATCTACAAATACATTTACTCAGATGGTAAACTGTGGTATCATGTGATCAAGATAACTAGATATGTAGCCTCATAAGATGCAAATAAGAAGATTTCGTATTTTTGGAGCCAACGACATTTCTAAGCAAAATCTATAGGTGATTTTTTTTTAGAAAAAAAAGCTGTTTACCCTCCTGCTGCCTGTCAGTCTATTACTGTTGAATCCATCCATCTGAAATGGAGCTCTGTAGGACCACTCCCTTATCTGCCTTCAGCTGGGAGCATGGGACATTAAAATAAACTGACAGCTTAGATCAGAGTTCTACTAAGACAAGTAAAACACATACTGTACACACACCCACACACACACTCTTGTTTTGCCACATGTAGTGAGAACCACATGTTGATTCCTGTTAACTTCCATTTATTTGCAGTAATTTTAAACCTTTTCCATCCCCTAACCCTAAAAACAACCCCAACCCAATAGACACCTTAGACCTAACTAACCGTTAGCAAAATAGCTTGTGACCGGCCAAAATGTCCTCCCTTTCTAAAAATGTCCTCACTCCAAAGGTTAGAAACCGAAACTCTAAAACAGTAACACCCTTACACACATATTAGCAAACATCTCCCACTTCACACACACATATACAAGTATTACCAAACACTGCAGGCCCCTGGCAGCCAGCAGAGGGTGCCCACATTGAGGCAACTGTTTTTAGCTGCAGGTTGATGCTCATATCAGTCACTTTTAATCTAGCTCACAATCTCTTCTGCTCCATAGTGGCAGGTAGATGCTTCGCTGTAACTTCAAGGAGCCTGTGTTTGCACACTGCTGCATGTTTACCAGAGTGGTGCAACCTGCTTCATAATAGCACAAGCACACTGCCCAGCCAGCTCTCTGCTAGTCTGATCTTCAGGAGAGGTTTCCACACTGGTGTGAAAGATGATGTTTAGGGCTTCATGAATGCTCATCACTTACGTTGGCACTTTGCACACCGATGTTTCTCATACTCCGGCAGGTCTGCGGCGCGGCTTCGAACGCTGGTGTTCCTCCTCAGTCCACTGCCATCCCGCATCCCCCCATCCCGCAGGCGGGCCGCCTCCTCCTTGGCATACACACCCAGCTCCTGAGTGTAGCGGCCATACATCTGTGCAAATATGAGGCAGAACAAAAGAACACCTTAGTGCAGGTAATACAGGTGGGAGGCAGAATGACTAAGCAGGGTTTGTATTTAAAAACTGACATCTCACAGGACAACAGGCTTATATAAACACTGTGAAATGTAAACCCAAATTTAGGTTATATAGTAAAACTAGGAAAAAGTTAGATAACAGATATCACCAGTAAGTTGTTAAATCCATGTATTAAAATGTTTTGATCAAAATATCAGTAAAAGAATGCATTTAATAAAAAACATATTTGTAAAATGCCTTTTGTTCCAAAAACCAACAATACAGTGGGAACACTGCAAATTCTGTTCTGATTAAAGAAATTATGAAAAAGTTTTTTTAAGTATCTTTCTGCAGAGAGTAAAAAAGATGACGAAAAGGCTATTAAAAAAAATAATGACTGCATTTATCTCTACAAACTCAAAAATTGACTCCAATATCTAAAAAAAACAATAACAACAAAAACAAAACTTGAAAATTTAGCTTTAAAACATCAGGTCAGAGTATTGCTTCACATCTGTGTTGCAGAGTTGACCAACATCTAGCAGCCATGAGCAGTCAGTATTTCAGCCCACGGTGACTGGATGTGGTTACTGACGGCTGCATATATTTTGTTCAGTAATCATGATTGAATACGATTGAATTGAATACATGATTGAATACATGATTGAATCATAAATACATACCTTTAATACATAGATTTTATAAGAATAATAAATAACATGTTCAAGATTATATATTTTTTTCTAAATGTAATAACTATAAAAGTAATCTAAAAAAAAATGTATTCAATACATTCCAAAAGCATAAGTTTCAGGCTTTCTTTTAAATGCATTTTGTTTCAGCCTTATCCATCAAAGTCAGCTGGCAGGCCTAATAATGCTACAGACAAGATTACCGGACAGTTAAGTTGCTCTGGATCTTAATTTTAGGGCTGTGTGACAAGGCAATTTAAATAAGTCTCGCCAGACTGCTGCTTAGGAAATATGAAGTACAAGTTTCTATTTCCACATGATTTTTAATACGTAATAAATTACATTTTTTTATTTCTTTCTTTAGAAAATTATGTGTCTTCAATATATTATTGACATACCTAAAAGTCTCTGCTTATATTCAAATTATCTTTACAAAAATACAAATATAAATCTCCCTTAAACATATCTAAACTTATCTACTGTTTTAATTTTTATCCCCTCATGGTAGTGATGGGCTATCTGAAGCCAGGCTTCGAGGCTTGTACCGAGTAATAAGGGGGCGTGTCAATGAAGCCCCGCTTCGAGGCCTGTGTTGTCTTGTTGAAAACCACGTGACTGGCAACAAACGAGGCCTCGCATTGCATTGGTCACGTGACTGCTTCATTTTGCGTGTCGGTTTTCAAAATAAAAGCGCGATGAATCCTGTTTCTTCGTGGGTTGTAGTAGGTGGTTTGGTATCAGCAGAACAGTTTTCATCAGCAGTGGTTGAAATGGAGCCGTCAAAAAAGGGAAAACCTCTCATATGTGGGAGTATTATGAGATGACAGATCACAATCACAACCTGAAACAGTGAAAAAAGTCCTATTCCTAAATAAAAACAATTAAACCTAAAATCCAGAATTTTCTATATTTTCTTTTGATTAATCAGGAGATGCATCAGAATCACACATCAAAACCAGACTAAAAGCCATTAGAAGAGGCAAACTCTATGTGTAACTTAATATTAAGAATCAGAACTAGAACTCCTAGGAAGAGATGATTTTAAACAAATTCTGTCTTTAAGGAAGCAAGTTTCAAGCTCAAAGTATACAGAGTCTGCAGCAACAGTCACTCAGTTCTCAATACATTAAAGTAACACATATCTTCATTGTCTAATAAGTCCATGACATAAAAGAAAACCTAATACCACCACTGATGGTCAAGGATTAGATTGGCTACAAATCATTTTAATCATTAAAACATGACAATTAAATAGGATTCTCCTCTTACTAAACATGAGTTTGATGAAAACTTTGTGACAATATTGCATTTCCTAATATTTGGAAGTATGATCCAACTGAGTAACAAGGCTGTTACAGTTTCACCAGCAGATGTCACTAGTGAGTGATGAATGAAGCATCGAGTAATGAACTTTTTTCAACACTTTGCGTTGGAAAGCTTCATTGCTTCATGAGGCTTCACTTGCCCATCACTACCTCATGGCACAAAAAAAAGATCTCTCAACATAAAGTTGAACTGCTCTAATCATCTTTAAACAAGTAATTAAATCCACAAAGCTTTAACTCATCAGCCATGAATCAAGTTCCCAGACAATAAGTTCCACCTGTCCCATCCCAGCCAATTAACTCTGCAGGCCTGTTCCTTAACTGATTACTGATGAGAGGCGGAGTTCTAAGCAAAACTGCTCCACAATCAGCTGTGAATAAAAGCCGTGACACAGCACTGCTTTACATCTGCAGTTTTGGTTAGAGTGCAGTTGATAACACCAAGATGGCTCTTTTTAAGTGTCTGTTTGGTGTTGTTTTGATTTGCAGCATTTCTGCCCAGAAGTACTGGAGGGAGCCACTGGTGCCACAGAAACAACAACAACAACTCTTGTCTTCTTTCCAGAAGCCCCAGCAGGAGTTGAAGGTCCCTCCACCTGCAGCTCCCTTTGATAAATGTGACCTGGGAGAGATTGAGAAAATCCAGTGTGGGTCTCCAGATATCACTGTTGATCAGTGTCAAGAGATTAACTGCTGTTTTGATGGGCGTCAATGTTACTATGGTAAAGCAGGTATGTATAGCTCAAAAGTTCTACTTTGTAACATTCTGCTACCTTTATTTCTCAACTAAACTTTTTTTTTTTTTTTTTAACCCAGTGACTGTACAGTGTACCAGGGATGGACAGTTTGTGGTGGTTGTGGCCAGAGAGGCCACTCTGCCACCACTGCATGTTAGCTCCATTAGCTTGCTTGAATCAAACAATGATGTTTGTCAACCAGTTGATGGCAGCTCTGCCTTTGTCATCTTTCAGTTCCCTGTGGTAGCATGTGGAACTACACTAAAGGTAAACAAAGTCATAACAAGGAAAGAAATTAAAAGAATCTTTAGTTGCAATCTGTGCCACCTGATTATGTGGGCAATTTTATGAATTGGGACTTGAACTGTAGTGTATTTCCATTTTAGCAGAATGATGATGGCCATGTAGTCTATGAGAACCACATGGCCTCCTCTTATGAGGTGGGAGTTGGACCCAAAGGATCAATCACCAGGGATAGCCATTTTGAGTAAGTCCAAACTGCTGTAGGCCTTGAGTGCAAAAACTGCAGGTTAGTAGGTTGCAGTAAAAAAAGAAGCCTCTTGTGTGAACTGTTGCAAATGTACATGTTCTGCTTCCTTTACCTCTGCAGCAATCACATTTTTAGACTAAAGTTACAGGTTTTGTTAGCCTGCCTTACTTGACCTCATTAGAAACTTTCAAGAGATGAAAGGCATGGCGATTTCAAATTTTACCAAAAATTTGAACAAACTGTAGGTATGCAACTTGCCAAGTATAAAAGGCACAAGTTGTGATGGGGCACTTGGGTTCCAGTTAAAATTTTGTTGACTTTGCTTTCCTTTCCATTAAACTGCAATCTGGAACAAAGTATTTGCAAATCTAATGATGTAGAACAAACCTCCCTGCTCCTGTTAATTGGAGGAGCACAACCGCAAGACTGGTTTACCTCGACTACAAAACATTATTCAGATTAAACATTCACTTGCCTAAATAGCAATGTCAATATTGCATGTTTAGGAAATGAACCTAAATTGTACATGACCTCCATTATGACCCTTTTCAATGTGAAAGTTTCTGGAATCAAGGATTCCAACAGTTACAAAGAACTGAAGTATTCTCTCCCTGCAGATTACTGTTCCAGTGTCGGTATACTGGCACATCTGTAGAGGCTCTTGTCATGGAGGTAAACCCTGTTCCGCCACCAGTTTCTGTTGCTGCAGCAGGACCCCTAAGGGTGGAGCTCAGACTGGGCAATGGACAGTGTTTTTCTAAAGGCTGTAATGAGGGTATGTATCATCAAATTTGGCTGTGCCTTTAAAAAACAGTTAAACTTATTAAACTGGTATGATTGCAGAGGTGGCAGCATACAGCTCCTTCTACAATCCATCTGACTATCCAGTCACTAAAGTGTTGAAAGAACCAGTCTATGTTGAGGTCCGTATTCTGGGGAGATCTGACCCAAACATCTTTCTGAACCTGGAACACTGCTGGGCCACTTCAACACCCAACCCTGAGGGCTTACCACAGTGGGACCTTCTGGTTGATGGGTATGAAACTGTTTGTGGGGTTAACTGTCATGTATTTTTGTTTCAAATTTAACTTTATCTGCACTTAAATGTTTCCTTGTATGCAGTTGTCCCTATCAAGACGACCGATACCAGACCACAGTGATTCCTGTGGATACCTTTTCTGGGCTGGAGTATCCCTCTCATTACAAACGTTTTGTTAGCAGGATGTTTACCTTTGTGGCTCCAGAGACCTATACTCCTCAGAAAGATACGGTACACATGATTTCTTAAATTTTTAAAAAGATGACCCTTGCTGCTTATCAATTTTTTGACTTTTGTGCTCCTTCTCAGGTGTTTATCCACTGTTCAACAGCAGTGTGCTATCCAAGCAGTGCTAACTCTTGTGTGCAACAATGCCACAGGCAACGTAAGTATATTTTAGAGCTGGATGAGATGGGGAAATTGGGTTAATGAAATTCAAACCTGAGAATGCACAAGCAATGCTTGATTTGATCAATTTTAATTAGTAGGGAATTGAGCAAGAAACTACTTTAATAAACTCTAAATTATAAATGCATTGATCACAAAGTGTTGGAAGCTGAAACCAGCATATTTTGAAGAGGACTCTTAATGCTTTTTGCAGGAAGAGCAGCAGTGGAGAAGGTGCCCTCCAGCCAGAGAGTCCTGGTTTCCAGTGGTGAAGTGATCCTTTCCAAGATGGCCACTGAATCTTGAAGGCAACAATCCACTGAATACCATATGAACTCTTTTAATAAAGATGGCTAAAGGTTATGCCTGAATCTAATTTGTGACTTGCTGTTTATTGTTAAGCCTTATGTTTAGGCAGCTGGCTAGTAATCTCGGCTTTTTCTTTTAGGCTCAGTTGTGATCTGTAAATCTGGTTGTGGTCAATACCAGAACTTATAAACCCAGGTACCTCTAATTTTACAGCAACACAAGTTGGAGGAATAAAAAAGCCTTTAACTGTAGTTTCAATTGTTGCATTTACAAAAATCTTCTTGTAGCTACAAGACTAAAAGTGGACTGCTTAATCTAAGGCCTTTATGGTACCGGTAGTTTATCTAAAATTGGCTCACAATCTTATGTAGCAATCCTGCTTTAAAGCCATCTTAATATTTACAAAATGCAAAGCGATGATCCAAATTGAAAACTTGGATCAGCATGGTTTTTGTTAAGAGTTTCAGAATGTCTGCTGCGAGGTGACATAAAGCTATCTGCAGTCTTTATTGCCAGAAAGGAAGCTTTGTTACAATGTTAAAGGCTGGAGGGATTTTTCTGTGCACATGCAGACATATTTGAACTGTTAAAACAAACCCAGAATATTGATAAAGAAAATCCAGGTACATGGGCCGGCACACATTAATGCAGCAGAACCCAGACAATCTTTTTCAATTAAAATACTGAACTTGAATATCGTTGCAGGCTTATGAAATTAAGAGAATCCACAAAGAAGGGTTTGAAAGTGCACAATAGGGATTCTGTTCCCTCCCTTGATTTAATGAGAACTGTGGACAAAGTATGGTTAGGTTTTAGTTTATAAAGCTCAAGCCTAAACTTTTACTCTTCCATCTGACAAGTTACATTCTTGTAACTGAAATGCATCTGTGAAAACATGAGTTGCCCCACCACTGTAGATTATGTCAATGCTGAGTTTGACATTGAAGAGTGAACAAAATAGGAGGATGAATTGCTTTTGATTTTAACCATATTTCTCAACTGGTCCTTGACATGATTTATAAAAGTGTCTTTTTTTTCTGTTACCCTTTTACCTAGAAATTCAGACATCGAGGCCTGTTTCTGAAAACGGTGTTATCTTTGTAATGGGATATTCTGAGTAAAATTTATTGGGCTCTGATATCCAGGATTTTTAGTTCCATAACGTAGGATTTCTCACCACTTGACCTTAAAATGAATGTGGAAATTACCTAAACATATTTTACACAAAGTTCAATTTTTTTCTTCAAAGAGATTTAACATAGCAGAGACAGTCCATGAACACAGACACCCACTTGCCCTTGTGTCAAATGAGAAACATGCAGGCTGTATGTTTGTGATTATTACATCTTGTGAAATAAAACCCTGTAATGGTCAAAAACCTAAAAAAAAAAAAAAAAAAAAAAATCTTGTCGGATGAAGTATTTGCATTTTCCATTGGTAAGACGTTCCTCATCCTCATCTCGGATAAAATGAGGAATGTACTTGGCCGTCACAAGTTTGAGTCCAGACTTGCCGACTTCTTCAGGTTTTAACTTCTCAAGCCCATTTCCTGTCAGGTAGATTCCAAATAAAGGCTACTTGAGGTAATGAATACATTTTAAACCCACCTAAAGTGTTTAATACAAAGACTGCAGTTTGTGTGTGCTGCTGTAAAGTGGGCTACCTCCACTTATTGCTATTTGATGCAACTCAATCACATTTTGAATTATAATTAAAAAATCAGGAGACCAAACCCATATTTAAATATGGTAATTATAGTCTATACACCTAGATAAAAGCTATGATTTCAACATAATGTATGTCTTTTGTGTGCTTTAGAAAGTATAATTTAATCTTCAAATGTGCTTTTATAACTCAAATTGATTAGATTAAATAATTAAAGAAATTATAACTCTTGTATTAAAACATATCAGTAACAATAATAGGGTCAGTTTTTTCATTGTACTGGACAAATAAGAACTAGAAAAAATATTCCCAAAAAATATATATTTTTTAATGTATTAATAATAAAAAATACCATTCTCAAAGTCTTAAATTAAAATGTGAATACTCCAGTATTTAATTTGCTTTCTCCTTTTTTTTTATCCTCCTCTCCCAATCTATATTTTGCCATAGATCCAAACTTACGCTGAAGTTTTTGTTTATTTGACAAATAATGATGAAAGTATTTTGAAGTAGTTTCTTTGACATTGTATTGCACAAGCAGTCTCAGCTGAAATGTTCTTCCTCCCTTTAATCCTCTAGCCCTGTCTCAGTGACAAACCCTCTCAATATTTTCATTTTATTAGGATATGTGCACAGATAAACTGTGCAGACTTAAGTGGTTCTGAGTTACATTTTTTGCATCTCAAAATATTTAATCCACTTTTGGTGCATCATAAAAATAAACTCAGTCAACTCGAACAGGCTGTTTACTAAATTTCTCCATTCATCTGACCTACAGTATGGGAGATATGGCACCTTTGTTAAACACAGAAACACAGCTTTGAATACAGTGCACTCTGCCACCCATTTGACCAGGGCAATACAAGGAAAGTATCTTTTGTGTTTCGTCTATAATGCTTGCCTTGTGCTATCACATCCTGTATACCAGAGCAGCACTAACAGCGCTGTCCTGCCGTTCCCTCTGTGAGATGAGAAGAACAGTTCTTATAGCGCCAGCTCAGGGACATTGTCACACCAAAGTAAAGCTGTCGTTATCCATGAATTGCACAATTCTATTTAGGCACATGCCTACTGGTCCCATGGAAATGATGAATGCTGGAAAACTTTATTCATCTATGAATCCCCTCTGGATTGAAGTTGGCATGTCTGAAAAAAACAACAAAAACATTTGATCCATATCTGCTATACTCAATGATTATCTTGCCTTTGGCTTGAAATAGTAGAAACATCCTGTTTACACCATCTACTCTTTGGGATGTTCTCTTTGCTCCTAAAACATATACATATAATCACTACTAACTCACAACACAATGATTAACAATATTTTAGAAGAATCTCATATTAGAGTTCTTAAAGTAAAATTACCTCAGAGAGTGGTTTTTCAGTGTTAAACCACTGGAAAACAGTGTTTATCAGTGGTTTTCAGTGGAGTGTTGCTACCAAATGAAAATTAAAAAAGTAGGAAAAACAATTTATCAATGATCAAACCTGAATGAGGGTTAACTGTCATACTGTCACAGACTTTATTAAAATGTTTTTTGTGATGATTTAACTTTACATTTGTTTCTTATAAATCTGTTTCTCAGAACCTCAATGGTGAAAACTTTGTATAGAGGAACAGCTGTTTGATGAAATGTAGTGTGCAACAAAAATTGCCGAAAGGCACCCAAATACAAACCCAAAATAACCGTTTTAGAGGCCGTTTTCAATCCAGCAAAGAGAATCCTCAAAGCTATCAGGCTATTTCCAAAATTAAATGTCCCACATCTTTCACAGCCTGCAGATCACAAGTGATATATAGTTAACTATAGCAGCATGTGTCGGTTGCTGACTAAAATCCATTTTACCATCCTAACCTGGGATAAAACTGTTTTTATTTATTTACCTAAGTTTAGTCTCTTTAACAAACAAATCTTAACTGATCCACATGCTACAGTACTGAAACATGGGAAAGCATCAGCAAACTCCCACAAGGACAACCAGAGCCTGTTCTTACATGGGCCTCTGTTAAAGCAGCCACCGGCCATCTGGAGCACGGCCCCCTGGGGAAGCAGCAGGTGGGACCCTGTGGGTTAAATGAGCTGTTATCTCCAACCAATTTAGCTCCCATATGACCAACTTCTGTAGCTACATCTGCCAGTTTTTATTTCTCCTAACACAATACGTGAAAATAAATATAATACCACTCTTGTTGGCCTTTGTTTTTTTTTTTTTATATTTGAAAATGTACATTCAGAGAACAAACATTTCATGAAAACAAGGCAGATCTTCTAATTTTTTTAAATGACTATATTATATTTTTATTAAGCGCATTAAGTAGGAACAGAGTTGCAAGGATATGGTGAAGGAACAAGTAGTAAAGCTGATTAGATGGTTTGATTTTAAAGGAAAGGAAAAGTGCTTTGATTTTACAAAAAAGCTGCATTGCTGTGGAAAACCAGGTAGGAACGTATAGAAGACCGATTATCACATCAAAATTCAAACTTCAAACCACCTACAGATGATATTACTTCATGACATTTGACAACTAGTACTTGGTTACAACCTTGGTAAGAATGTAGAGTCATTGTATGAGAAGTAAATGTGAGTTATGCATCAAGGGAGGCTGCAACACTCACACTAAGCAGTCTGTGAACCATCAAAGGTTAGGAAGATTCTAAGGGCCCTAGACTGGGGTGGGCCCAAAATCAGAAGAAAACATATTCCCCACTATATGTTTCAAATACAACAAAAATCCAGCAGTAAACTTGGCGGGAGTAGCGGCCTAGTGGTTTGAGCATAGTGCTTGAAATCCTGAGGTTCTGAGTTCGAGCCCCACTCCCACAGACTGCCACTTTGGACCCTTAATCCAACACTAGTCCCCGGGCGCTGCACAATGGCAGCCCAAGGGGATGGGTTAAATGCAGAGAGTTCATTGCTCTGTACTTGTGACAGTGTAATGATAATAAAACCCACCACCCCTGATATTCCAAGAAATTGATTGGCCTTCAGGTCCTGCAATGGTGCACCAGGCCCCCTTGTCTGATCTCTGTCTGCAGTTATTTGTTATTACAGGGGATTAAGTGCCACACACACATAATTTCACACATAAAATAAAACACAAAGAATAAAACAAATGAACAATAAAATGTGTAAATAAGCAGCAATGTGGAAAAACTTGTAATTTGTAATTGTTAATATAAGTGATTCTTGAGCTTCATAGAAGATTACGCATTGTTGCCCTGTTTGCCCTACACGGCGCCTATCCCACAGTGCCTCGCGCCGCTCAGTCAGTAGTAGCACAGGGCTTATACTCCAAGCTAAACTTCACAGTCATTAGATGGGGCTCGGATACCGGTGTGCAGTTTGTTGGAGGATCTGGGCGAAAACAATGCCTGGTTGTATGGAGCCATTTCGTTTGCG